CACTTATCTAGTGTATGTTTTTTGTATGGTTAGAATTAAATTATTCTAGCGTGGTATCTATCAAAAAATTCATACTCTATGGCACCAGAACACACAAGACATCTGCCTTTCGGCTCCTCACTTAGCGACCAATCTGCAAGATTATAATTGGGTCATTAAGTAAGGAGTATCTGTATTTCCATTTCTAATCAGTCAGCCACTCACATTAACCTACCTCCTCTCTTGAGGAAGCTCTCATTCCTTCTCCTTTATTTATATGTACAAACCGTACTTCCTTTCTTCATCAAGTAATCCCCTCCTTTGCCCCTAGCCATGGTACAAAATACTTTACCAACAACAAAAAGTTATTTCAGTAGAATGTATTCATTGATAAAATAGAAACTTCAGGACCAGCAGATGCCGTAATGGTTACGTAGCTGGACTCTCACATAGTTGACAGTGGTCTGAGTCTGGACCTAGCGGCTTAAAACTCACACCAGGCACATGTGTGTGTGTACCCAAAATCCCGAGAAGAGAATGGAGGAGGAAGGACTGCGGCGTGGCCATTCCCCACCGGCCCCAGGGTGACTTCTTGCTTTCCATCTGTCTCTCTGTGTGAATGCACATGACGTATAGCAAAAACCTCTCTTAAAAAAAAAAAAAAAAAAAAGAGAGAGAGGAGAGACTTCATTTAATAGGTGTACCTTTATGATACTGATGTGATATTAGTAAGTTCATGATAATGTTATACATCTAATTGAAACCTAAATTCAGACCTACTAAATAACAGAAAAGCTTTTTCAGATGTAAGCCAGCTGATCACTGTTTACCCATTTATAAAACAGAAATTTTCTACTTCTATAAAAATATTTTTATTATTTCATTCATTTTCAGAAACATTAGGTTTTCAGATAAAAAAATTTAACTCTTGTAGAAAATAACTTTAAAGAACAGCTACCTCTACAACTCAACAATGAAACAACCCGATTCAATAATGAGCAAAGGACTAGAAAAGGTTTTTCTCCAAAAAAAGGTATGAATGGTCAATAAGTACATGAAAAGATGTCCATCAACTAAACTAGCCTTTAGAGAAATACAAATCAAAATGCAATCAGATACCATTCACATTAGGATGGCCATTATCCAACCAACCAAGTAACAACTGTTGGGAAGGATGTGGAAAAACTGGAACGCTAGTGTACTGCTGGTGGGAATTGATAATGGTATAGTCACTGTGGAAAATGGAAGTGTGATTTCTTCTAGTCCTTCCAGTTGCTAGTAACAGAAAATACCTGGTTCTGGGTAACTTAAAGTAACAAAGGTTTATTAGTTTGTGGTTTGGAGGTCTGAGGGCCGAGGTCCAGGGGCCACATCTGCTGAGAATTTTCTAGCTGTATTATGACATGGTGGAACAAGAGCTGATCTGTCTAGCTCCATGTCCCTATTACGATCCCATTCCCTGCCTCTGTAAACCCATCAGAAGTCAATCGTTAGGACCCTATCCTGATGCCCCTAATCCTAAATCTCCCCAACGCCATTAAGTAAGTGTTCACCCTTTGATCCAGTTAAAAGCAAATCTGAACACATAAATTCTGGGGGGACACAGTCAAACTACAGCACAGTTCCTTAAAAAATTAAACATAAAGGCCAGCCAGCCGCATGGTGGTTAACGCAGCTGGATCTCACCTGACCAACTGCTTGGTTTGAGTACCGGACCCAGTGGCTGGAGGAACACTCCGGGCAACCACAAAAGTGCTCAAAATCCCAAAAGAAGAAATAGAAGAGAATGGATTGTGATTGATCATCCCCCACCATGGGGGGGGGGTTGCTTTCTCACTTTCTTTCACTCTCTTTCTCTGTTTCTCTCTACAAGTACATGTGATAGCTAGTAGCACACTTTTTTAATTAACATGAAAGTACCACATGATCCAACTATTACACTTCTGGGTACATACACAAAAGAACTTAAAACAGAGACTCGAAAAATATTTGCACATCCATGCTCACCATTATTCACAATAAACGAAAGTTAAAAACAACCAAAATATCTTGCAACAGATAAACAAAACATGGAATAAATGTGCAATAGAATATTATTCAGCCTTAAGAAGACAACTCTGACACATGCTAAACAAGGATGAACCTTGAAAACATTATACTAAATAAGCTAGAGAAAAGAAAAAACGCCATACGTCTACCCAGACTGGGTAAATTCACAGACAAAAAAGTACAATAGCAGTTACCAGGAGCTGGGAGAGACAGAGTGGGGACAGTTACTGTCTAAAGAGTATAGAGTTTCTGTCTGGAATAACCAAAAAGTTCTGGAAACACAGAGTGGTGATGGTTGTACAACACTGAATGCCACTAAACTATACACTTTAAAATGGTAAATTCTATATTATGTTTACTTTGCTACAATTCTTTTTAAAAAACCATAGCAGGAGGACCAGCAGATGATGTAATGGTTATGTTGCTAGGCTCCAGACTTGGTAGTTTAAAACTCACGCCAAGCATATGTGTGTGTGTGTGTGCATGTGTGTCCAAAACCCAAGAGGAAAATGGAGAAGAGACTGCATGGCATGGCCATCCCGCCTGGTGGGTGATTTCTTCTTCCTTCTGTCTGTCTCTCTGGCAAGCGCACACACCTTATAGCAAAAATCTCTAAAAACACAAACAACAAACACCTATAGCCATTGGGGACAATAGGTAATATAGTGTTTGGGCCACAAGGTTGACTGCAGTTCAAGTCTTGAAACTGGCGCCTTGCTTTCTCCCTGTCTCTGTCTGTCTGTCTGTCTGTCTCTGTCTGTCTGTCTGTCTGTCTGTCTCTCTCTCTCTCTCTCTCTCTCTCTTTCAAATTAAAAAATAATAATAATAGGAGCCAGCAGGTGGCGTTGTGGTTAAGGCGGCTGGACTTTCACATGGCTGACTGCAGTTTGAGTCCCAGACCTGGAAGCTTGCTTTCTCACTTTCCTTCTCTCTCTCTTTCTGTGGTCAACTTCAAAAAAATAAAATAATGACAATGAATAAAATTAAATAATTCTTTAAGAAAATTTAAAATAATAAATGGAATTAAACAGTTATTTTTTAAAAAAACACAGCAGGCCAATAGATGGAGTGGAGACAAGGTGGCTGGATTTCACAAGGCCAATTGTGCAGTTTGAGTCCAAGGACCAGCAGCTTAAAAAACACACTGGGCACGTGTACATGCATGCCCAAAATCCTAGAGGAGAATAGGAGAAGGGATTGCGGCATGGCCATACTCCCTGGGGCTGATTTCTCACTCTTTCTGTCTCTGTCTCAGGCAAGCACATATGCACTACAGAAAAAAAGAAAAAAGGATAGCTACAGTAACTTAATACTATAGTTCCCAATTTAAAAATTAGTATATCTGGCCAGCAGGTGATGTGGTGGCGAAGGCACTGGATCCCACATGGCCAACTCTGAAGTTCAAGATCCACACTTGGTGACTTGAAAAATACATCGGGCACATGTACGTGCGTGCCCAAATACCGAGGAGAAGAACAGCAGTGTGGCCATCCCCACACTAAGGAAAGGGGCGTCTGACATCCTTCTTTCTGTCTCTGTCTCGCTCCAGCAAGAATATGTGCCCTATGTCAAAAATCTAGAATAAATAACTAAACAAACAAATAAATAAAAATTAGTATACCATGATGGGGAATGGCATGGACAAGGTTATTTATAAAATGATAAGGAAACAAGTTGTCATTTTATTGATGGGTAAACACTGAAGAGTAACCATATGCATTTCAGGCATTTTCTTTTATAAAATAACGAGATTCTAATAACAAAACACATGCACACACACACATACAGTAAGATTTACTTCACTCAATGGAGAATTTTAGGCCACTGTGATATGCCCTTATGCATCTTCCAAGGACTTATGCTCTCATACAGATACCTAATTGGTAACAATTAATTGGAGAAATTATCCCAATTTCAAAAGTAGATTAATAAAGTAAGAAGGGGCTCCTGTTTAATATACAAACGACAAGTTCATTCAATTCCATTCAACAAGTACTTAGTGAGAAAGCCAGTCCAGAAGTATTTCAAGGTTACAAAAGGAGAGTTGGAAACAACCTCACATTAAAGCCGAAGCAGAAAGTCAGGTAATTCAAAACAAGACTTTCATGGCTGCCCCTATCAAATGCACCCCAATGACTTAATGTTAACAATCTGCATTACTGTGGTTCCTGCTGCCATTTTTAGATGATGATTCCTTGAAAGTAAGGTTAAACATCCAACTTTTTTTCTATCGCTTAGACGGTGGAATCGGGAACCGAGCGAACTTACTAAGTCAGTTTGGTTTTCATAATTACGAAGAGTACCAATTTCCTACTGGGTGAGTGTGCCAACCGATTCAATCCCCTTTAACCTTATCTAAGGAAACCAGGCGCCCCATCTGAAAGTTAACGCTAAACAAAGCGTCCCTCTTCTGGCCTGGCCTATACAAAGTGCAAGTGCATTCTAGAGTGCATTCCCAGAGCACCAACAGCCCAATTTTGGCTATATCCTCTGAGCGATTTAAGGAAGTCAGCAACCACTCATCTCACGTGACCTTAAGAAAGGGCGCAGCCGAGCCCGAAATAAACCACACTCGTTTTTACTTCACTGCCCAGAATGAAGAGCAGGCGAGGAGGTGGCGCAGGACGGGTGGTCAGGGAGACTAGCAAACAAACGGGAGGGGTTGTGCCTTGCACTCTCGGGGAGCTGGGAGGTGAGGCACACCCGCTCACGCGCACTGCAGCAGCTGAAAATCGAAGACTGCCACACCCCCCGGCAGCCAGAGACACATCTTCCTCTTTCTCCAACGGAAAGGAGGCCCTCTCTATGGACTGCCAACCTGCAGGGCGCTGCCCAGGGCCGCGGCATCCTGAAACGCGGCGCCCTGAGGCGGGCGCGGGTGGGACACGGCGATGGGGGAAGCAGCAGAGGCCGGGCCGCGGGGCCGGGCAGCCCGCGCATGCGCAGACCCGGGTACCCGCCCGTTTACCTACCGTTGGAACCGCGAAGCCCCGCTCCCTAGCCGCAGGCGC